CCTTGTCTTAAGCCTCTCTTGGTTGTAAATAAGTCAATTGATGACTCACTTAGTTTCACTAAGAAGGATGGGGTGGAGATGCATTACCAAATCAAGTTACATCAATCTGGTGGGAAGCCTTTTTTTTTTCATTGACTCAACAAGAAAATTCAAACCCATTCGGTCAAAGGCCTGACCATATTGATTTTTAAGGCTTCCCCTTCCTTTTCCCTTTTTGAGTTCTGAGTTTGTGAATGATTTCTTTGGCCAGGATAACATTATCTATGATGCTTCTCCCTTTTATAAAGGCCACCTGGTTTTCTTGGATTAGGTTTTGGAGCAGAGGCTTGATTCTATTGGCTAGGACCTTTGCTAGGAATTTGTAGATCACATTACTTAGGCTAATTGGCTTGAAGTGTTCTGATTTCTCAGCACCCCTCTTCTTTGGGATGAAGACAAGGTTTGTGTGGTTTATTTGTTTTAAAAGTCTCTTGGAGTGGAAGAAACTTTGTATCATCCCTGTGATATCATCACCCACTAAATTCCAATAGTGTTGGAAAAAAAAGGCTATGTAACCATCTGGGTCAGGAGCTTTATGGGAATTCATTTGAAACAAGGCCAATTTGACTTCTTCTTTTTGAGGGGGTAGCATAAGCTTTTGGCTTTCTTCAAATGGTATTTGATTGAACTGGATAGTTTCTAGGAGGGTGGGGTCAAAATTCTCTTCCTGTCCTGAGTTATGTAAGAAATGATTTTTGAAGAGGTCTGCAATGGTTTCTGGATTATTGGCCCCTCTATCTTGGTTATCCTTCAAACTTTCTATAGCCCTCCATTTCCTTCTGAATTTTGTTTTCTGATGAAAAAAGTTGGTATTTTTGTCTCATTCTAGAAGCCATAACACTCTAGACTTCAGTCTCCAAAGTTGCTCCTCAGCAAGAAGCCATTTATTGTATTGGCTTTTTAATTCACCTAGTGTGCTGCTATCTCTTTGGCTTGACCAAGCTAACATGATTTTTTGCTCCAACTGTGTTAATTTTTTGTGAATATCCCCATATGTGTTTTTGTTCTAGATATTGAGTTGATTCTTCAGGAGCTTGAGTCTAGTTGTTATTGAATGGGCTCTGGATCCTGGGATTTGTTTATTCCAAAAATTTGCAACCATCGTATCACAGTCATTGTGATTTACCCACATTGGAAGGAAATGGAATTGGTTCTTCCCTTTAGACTGGCTAGGTTTGGTATTTAGAAGGATTGGAGAATGGTCTGAGTTTATATCAGGCAAAGTCACAAGTTTGGTATCAGGAAACCAGGTTAGCCATTCCGCACTTGCTAATCCTCTATCTAGTCTTCCTCTCACTCCTTTTTTCCCTTGTTGTTTGTTTGTTCAGGTATAGTAAGGGCTAGAGAAGCCAAGGTCCGACAGGGCAAAATAGTCAATCAGTTGTTTAAGGTACTAAGAAGGTCTTGATCTATTACTGGGCCCCTCATAGTCCTCCATGTTTACTAAGTCATTCAGATCTCCCATTAAAAGCCAGTGGGTTCCTCTTAGGTATGATTTTGAGGTTTCAAATTGTTGCTAGAAAACAACTCTATCTCCCTGGCTAGGCATTCCACATAGAAGTACTAAGTTCCATGGTTCTGAGGAATTTGTGTGGTTTCCAGTTAGTTCTATGAACATTTGAGAGCTATCTCTTACTAAGATATTTAAGTTATCCTTCCAAGCATAGAGGAGTCCCCCACTCAGCCCCACTGAGCTCATAGTCTTGAAATTGAAATATCCCAGAGATTTTGAAACTTTCATGACTTCTTCTTCTGGCATTTTTGTTTCTGAAAGAAACAATATGTTTGGGTTTTTTGAACTTCTTTACTTTTCCCTCCCCTTACATTCCAAGCTAGTATTTTCATTATAATTGCAAGACTTTGCAAAGGAAATGATGGATAGATTACTACTAGATAACCCGAAGCATAAAAATGCAAGTTTGTTTGAATGAAAATAATGTAGAGTAGGGAATATAAATGGATGAATACATGAAATACAAAAGCTGCTAATGAAGTAACCCTCTGCTATTTTTCTTTTCAGAAATAGTCCCAAGCTTCTATCCATGAAGAGTCTTCGAGACAAGTGAGGCTTTCCAGACTTCTATCAAAGTGATCAGGTCCTTGATTTTGCAAGATAATTGAATTTTGGCTTGCCGATAGGGGTTCTGGGATACTGAAGCCTGAGAGAGAGTTTGCCTCTGAGTGGGGATTGCTTGTGATTCTCATTTATTGGATCCACTTCCTCAACGAAGTCGCTGATTGGTGCCCAATTAGCTATTCTAGAGATGGTCCAAGATTGGTCGGGATGTCGGTCATAGCTTGAGAATCCAAGTGATCTTTCAGAGAGTTGGTATCTAAAGGGTCTTCCTCTTCTCCTCGAACGGGTGATGAATTAATTATACCAAATCCTCCGGTCGCAGTCGAATAAATCTTATACTAACCTCTCTCGAGAATCGGGCCCATATTAATCATTTCATTTTTTTGCTCTGCCTCAAGGAGTCGAGCTCACGCTAATTGGGTCTCGTTTTTGTTGCTTCCTAGTGGAACTATTGTTGGACTCAGCTCGCTTCCGCTTTGTCGACTTGCTTGACTCGCCGTGACTCGTTCTTGCAGTCTTCTCCTTTGCTTTGCCATTTCCTCTCACCGGTGGCTGGGTACCATCTGTTAGCCGTTGCCGCTTCTCAGCTAATTCATCCTCAGAGTCTTCCTCCGAGCTTTGATCTCCTTGAAGGATTTGAAGTTGCTTGCATGCTCCTACACTTTCTTGGGTTTTCTTCTGAGTCGGGAAACAGAAAGGTTTCTCCGGTCTGTGCTCTGCCCATAGCCTTTCCTTGGCTCATCCAACTTTCTTTCTTCAAGCTCCGACATTATTTCATTAAGAGGAACAGCTTTTGGTATGAGCTTGCATTTCTTCCAGTTGTGTCCTACTAATCCATAGTAGATACCGAGCTTTGTGAGCTTTTCATAGGCAAATCTAACCCATATTGGATTGTTGTTATTCTTTAGGAAGAAACTTCTTGATAATGGCTTCCGCAAGTCGATTTCTATGTGAAGTCTTACCATGTTTCCCCTTGTGGGCTTCCCTGATTCGAGTTCTGTATTGTCTTCAAATACTCTGCCTGCTGCTGAAGCGAAGACTTTGCAGTTGTGGTTGGAGATGTAGCTTCGTGGGATATTAAACATTTGGACCCAAACTTTCTGGTGCCACAATTTGATCTTCTCCCTTGAAGTTCCATCTTGCCAAAATGCAACCAGCATCCAGCTCCCTCTTATGAACCAGGGACCTCCATTTATAGCCTTCTGCAGATCTTATTCTTCTTCGAAGATGAAAACGCACCCACCACTGTCGTCGTGGCCAACTTCGACGTGGTGAGTAGGGTTCTGTACATGCTTAATAAATGCATGAATGTTCTCCATGGTCACATTAATGCGTGGGAAGATTCTTCCTAACCACCTCGAAAGCTTCTCAAACCGGCTCCACATTTATTTCTAAGTGGGGACCGACCAAAGTTGCATGCTTTTCGAACTCCAGTCCCAGATCAGCAACCTGCTGGGCAGTAGCCAGAGAGCTTTGCTTGCTACCGACGTCTTTAGAGTCATCTGTTTCTTCAGCCATTTTGAAGGGGACGTGTCTCTGAACTTTACAGCAGAAGAGGGCGGGAGGGTTTAGTGAAGAAGCATATGGGATTGAAAGATGAGCACTTTGAGTGCGAGAAAGAGAGATTTCAGAGAGTTTAGAGGGTTTCAGAGATGCGAAGGGTTCCAGTACATAGAGTGCGAAAAAAGTAGACAGTGACAAGTTTTTTTGAGACATTGTTGTGTCGCTTTGTTGGGATGTGATCTGGACTCAGTAAGTTTTGTTAAAACCTTTTGCCTATCGCCCAGCATTTTTCTCACACCGTGAGCCACCGGTTCCTAGTCAAACAGTCTGACCATCTGGTCTGAACCCCAGTCAGATGGTTTTGGGTCCAAAACCAGACCCGAAATCAAAACGTACCGTTCCTGGGTCAATTGATCTGACCATCCGGTCCGGTCTAACTATCAAAATGATAATTATTCTTGGAAATTAGATAGTTATTTATAATGCTTGATTTCTTGAAAGAAGGAAATAAGAACTTTCTTCCACTTTTTACTTAAAAAAGTATCTTCGTCTTTCAAACCAAAACCAAATACAGGATAAAAAAATGCTGTTTCAAACGTGGGGTGAAAATCTGAAACTTGAAAGAGAGTAAAGAAGCCGACATACCTCAAATTACCTTCTTGTCCTTTAATTTTTTGGGACATCGAGCATCACTCTTAGGGGCAAAAACCGTCTACCAAGGTTTGTTTGTCATACATGACGTATATACACACATTTATCCCATGTATGTAAACCGTGGCCTTGGGATTGGGACATGACTGTTAGGCTGTGTTTGGTTTGGCAGATAAAAGAGAGAGAAAATCGAAGAAAAGTTCTTAACAAAATTTGGCGACTTTATATCTAACTCTTACGCTCAATTTGAAAGGAGTATAAATATAAATATATACAAAATAATACAAATACAAGGTTTTCACTCTATATATTTGTATTTATACTCCTTTCAAACTCAGCCTCATGTTTGATTGTAATGTGAATTTATTTATATTAGTGCAAAACAATGATTTGGGTGTAAATTATTCATGGTAGTGCAGTATGGGCAGCCCACCCTGGCACGGCCCGATTTATACCTTTACCTAAATCAAAGATTTATATATTTCTACCAGAAACAAAAAGTATTAAAGGAATTTCACAAAATTTGCCTCAGCCTTCAGTTTCTCTCGTTTTCTGTCAAACCAAACATAGCTTTATTGACCTGTAAAACCAGTTAATTCCTTTGATTCTCTCAGTCTCTCATTTCCTTCATGCAATACCCAAACAGAGCCTAAGCTCTACAATTTGTCTACGCCTACCAGCGTACCTCAACATGGAAAATTTTTACATCAACAGTTCCCCTTTTGAATCCTTTTCGAACGGCCACGGCTTGACAAACGCGAAAAGGCAAAATGGGCGACTCTCCTCCATTAATGTTCACAATGTCAAGTTCACACACCTAACTACAGAGATCAAGACGAGACGAGAAAAGGTGGGTTAAGTTGACCAGAAATTCTCTCCCTTTTCTTGGTTCGGAGGTTTTGGTCGAGACTTTCTAGTTGTTTTGGTTTGAGGTGGGTTAAGTAAGCTTACTCCTTTCTTGGAGACAGAGGCATTATATAAATGAGGCTTTCTGTATGGATTCAACATTACTGGTTTGTTAAGAAGAATTCAAGAGAAACGATTACATGGAGATTATTTGAGATCTTAGAGTTCTTTTTTCTGGGTGTTTGTGAACAGGGTTTGAGCAAAGTAGCTGATATTCTTGATTTTAGGTCTGATTCTTTGACAATTTGGGATTTTTAAGAGGACTTCCCATTCTCTTCTGTTAGGACTTCTGGGTTTGTAGACTTGTTTAAGTCTCCAGAAGTTGAGAACTTAAGGCTTTAGCGAGCTGGGATTTCATGAATTTCAAGAACTGGAGAGACTTGTACTCGAGTTTATGAAATAGGTGTTGTATGATTTGGTGACATTTAAGATCTAAGTGGTTTATATTGGAAGCTCTGAAGGTTTTGTAGCTTCTGCTAGTTTCAAATTTTCAATTCATAATAAAGCTAGGGAGTGAGAAAAAGTGAGTTTGAATTCGAATCTGTGAAGGTTGATTTAGGTTCTGAAAATTGGTGCAAATGCTTCTGTAGTGTAAATATTGGTAATCAGAGGCTTTCTCTTTGAGGTATTGATCAGATTTCAAGAAATTTGTTAATCTCTGGTAAGCCTCTATATGAATTGTTTTCTTCTTCTGTTGGCCTCTGTGTTTTGAAGTTTATTTAAACTAGCTTGAGTTGGCACTTGGCAGTTCTATTCATTTGATTTAGTCTTCTTCTCTGCAATACCTTAGGGGTTAAGGTTAAAGGATATGTTTGGTTTGATAGAAAATAAGAGAGAAATAGAAAGTTCAAGGAAAGTTTTTAACAAATTCTGTGAAATTCCTTAAGAACTTTCTGTTTCTTATTTTCTATCCAACCAAACATAGCTTAATGATATGATGGATCTCTCTCTCTCTCTTGGTTTTGTTAATTGTGTTATGGGTTAGGTATAAAGGCAAAACTGGGGTATTTTTTTGCTAATAACATTTGGACTTCTTCATTTGACAGGTTAGGAAGATGGAATACAGAGTAGTTGCATATTTGTCAATGGCAATTCTAACATCAAGTTTTGCAGAAATTACGGATTATGCCACTGGAGAACCCCCTAGACAACATTACGTGGCAGGAGTAACAGGGGCATCGTTTTCTACTTCTGAACCAGGTAAGTCTACAAGATTAGTTCAATGTTTAAGTCTTGTCAGAATCGGTTCAAACCAGAATGTTGGACCGGATTATTGGGCCAGAAACCGCTGGTTCTTAGCAATATTGATAATCGAAATTTACCCTAAAATCTAAACATGTGTGTTAGTAGGCCTTATAATATTTAGTATTTTAAGTTTTTCAATATAAAAAATAACTTTAATGTTATTCGAATGGGTTGCAGAAGTACAAGTCAAACCGGTTAGCTCGACTTGAGTCTTGAGCCAACCCAACTTTTTTAGATTGGATTTAGACTAATCCGGACCAAGGTGCACTCATAATGGGTTGGGAGGGCTGGCCTGATTGTAACTTAGGCTAGTTCTATTGGGTTTGATGGGCCTGCTTAGCTAAGAGAGCAATTAGAGTTTGGCCCTTGGGCTTTGAATTGTGGACAGAACTTATTTGGACTATAGTGATAACTGAATCGGGTTTTGCATTATACTGGAGTGACCGGGGATTGAGTAGGGGTGCAACGTTGGGTGGGCTGGGCCGGGTTTAAGTTCAACCCAGCCCCAACTTAAAAATTGGGCACAAGGCCCAAGTCTGAGGTCAAGTCAAAATTGTTGAAATTAAATTCAGCCCTCACTGAAATTTGATGCATTTGGGTTGAGTTTGGGCCGTGATGAGGCTTGGATTTGTCAATTAGCCACATTAAAATTATTGTAAATATATTTATATATGCATGTATGTAAATATGTATGCATGTGAATGTGTCTATATATACATGCATACGGTATATAGCCAAGGATCGAAAATACAAGCCCAATCCATATAAATTGTGGGCCAGGTCGATCTAGGCTTGAATTGTGCCCGCTTAAGTTGCAGCCCTAGTTTTGATCTTTTGAATTGTGGAAATAACTGAAGTTCATCAACAAGTTTGCTTAATTATTTATGTGCTGATGCTTCTAGGCAGGAAGTTGGTTGAAAGTGAGAACATGCCAGATTCCATGAGACAAACAGGCGATGATACAGTAAGGGCGGATCCACTGGATCATTTCAAGAAATACAGAGGAGGTTATGACATTACAAACAAGCATTACTGGAGCGTAAGATTTCCCCCCACCATCTTGTGTTTGATCCATACAGAGAAGTCGGTAAATGAACATTTCCGTGTCTAATTTGATCGAACCCTTTATATTATACCCAGATCCGACCCAGTTCCGAGCTACCAAGTACCAAACTAGAGTTACTCACATTTGGGTCATCGGAATAATAGGGGTCTAAATGGGTACCCAATAACCCGGAAGGCCGAACCTCAACTATTAGGGTCTGGAACCACAAACTATAGATCAAATCATAGTTAGGTCCGATTCAGTTCCCTTAGAGTTAAGACCCATTAGGAATCAGGCTCAACTCTAGGCCCAGGTAATCGAAACCCGATAAGCATATATACAAGCATATAAATAATGAAATATATAGAAATTCAAGCGAGTCCAAAATTTTGGCCTTGTATATATGAAACAAAGTTTAGATTTTATTTTATCAAAGTACATCCTAAAATATAGTGGGTCGGGTCTGGAAACCGGACAAGACAAAAGGTCTGGTTCTGGCTTCTGGGTAAATAAAATGGACCAGACACAGAGTCCCGTACTTGACCCTTGATATCCTTAATCAGGACAAAGCCAGCTTGAACCCCATTTCAGGCTGATTTCAGTTCTCCAATGTGAATCGTTTTTCTTTACTGTTCCAAAAACAAAACAAATTTGAAAACTATCTGGTTCTTAAAACAGAAACACAGAAAACTTGGTTATATGTGTGTTTTTCGCTTCTAAAAACCGAAACAAAGATGTGTTCTTCAATGTCTGGTTATTTGATATCATGTTCCGTAAATTATATAATTTCTACGTTATAAAATTTGTTTTTGTTTTAAAAACCATTATTTTAATGGTTCCAATTGTTTTTTGAAACAACCAACTTATTTATGCCTTGTAAAACAAAAATAAAGTTCAAAGAATGTGTTTTTGCTTTTCCGCTGATGTGGAGATTTCATAAACAAATGAAAAAGAAAGCATTTATTTTGTAGAACACCCCATTAATCGATAATCCTACTAGATACTAAACTAAAATAAGCTGTGCCTACATGAAGATACAGTTCTTTAGCATCTAAGACTCTTTGGGATATTCGTATTTGCATTCTTTCCAAACTGAGCCTAAAATACTATCATCATCATCTGATATTTGGTTATCTTAAAAGGGGAAATTAACAGAAGAAAAAACTGACTTCAACTTTGTTCTCCATGTGCTCTTCTCTAGTCAACTATATTTACAGGCAAATATGGATATGCTATTGGTGTAGTATGGCTTTTCTGCGGCATGATTTATGGTGGGCATCTACTTGCAACCAATCTATGTTGCACAGACAAGAAGAGAAAGCTAACGAGAAGACAAACCTGCACTAAGCGGAGTTATCCCTGGCCTATTCTTGTGGGGACTATCTTCACATTTCTAGCCATGTGAGCCCCTTACAGTCTACTCAGTAATAACAATGGCTAGAGTGAACTCACCATCATTCCTTTTATGAACTTATGGTGATGAAATGTATTGACAATTGCATTGCACAATGTGCAACCCCTGGTTCTGCAGAGCTGCATCCGGAATTGTTCTTGGTGGGACCTCAAAATTCCACTCCAGGGCGAAAACAGTGATGAACATTATCATGGATACAGCAGACGACGCATCAAAGACCATATACAACACAACAGGAGCAATGAAGGACATTAGAGACAACTTAGAAACCTCTGAAGAAGGTGGAGAGGCTTCTGGATTCCTTAACTCTACATCTCAGAGGCTTGACTATGAAGCTGCAGACATAGAGAGGCAGGCTAGAAAAAACAGACACTTGATAGACAGGGGTCTAAACATAGTGTAATTTTCCTTCCTCCTTCCTATAATCCTTACAAGCCCATAAGCTCAATCAGGGCTTACCTTTCACAGTGCTTACAATTACCATACTTAAGATGTTTCTGTTTGCAGGTATGTAACAACAACGGTAGCTATTTCAATAACCCTGATTGCTGTCATTGCACTGTCAGGTAACTACTTTACAATAAAGTTTGAGTCGGTTTACCTGAATTTCAGGCTTGATCAATTCAAACCTGAGTCATTTTGAAATTTATTCTATTGCAGTATCCGGATTTCTGAAGTTTCGCCATTCATTTCACCTGTAAGTAGATCTCAACCCACCCATTTGAATGCCAATGTTCTCAGAAGAAAGAAATAATAACATGTAGTAGTATAATACTAGCACTAATAATATATAATTGACATCAAATAATGAGATGAATTTGACTTAAATGCTACAGTAGGACCTATTGAATGATGGTTCAAAAATCCTCTTCATATTCCCCTCATACAAAGACAGGTTCCCCCATTGTGATGTTCCACTAATTTTGTGTCTTTATACACATTCAGTATTTTTTAAGTTTGATTCTGTGCTTCAAAGAATGAATCAAATCTCTTGGGAACTTAACACACGAGTAAATTTGGAAGTGTCATAAGGAAATCCTTTTCTGTTTCAGGATTATTATAGCATGCTGGATATTAACAGTCCTGTGTTTGTTGGCCTTTGGGATGTATTTCTTTCTAGAAAGGTAAATCCACTTTCTCTTATTCCATAGTTTCACATATTTTCAAGAATTCTTTACCTCCTAGAATGTACAGAAAGAAAGAAAATTATCAAACTTAAGAAAACAATGACAGATCTCAGAAAGGAAATTACTGAATGGCAGGTTCACAGGAGACACATGTACTGCTCTTGAAGATTTCCAACAAGACCCAAGCAATAGCAGCTTGAGCTCAATCCTCCCATGTGATGAACTACTTTCAGCAAAATCAGTCTTATCTGATGTCAGTGAAGGAATCTATGATCTTGTGAATCAGGTAAGAGAAATTGGTTTCAAGTTGGGCCTCTTCATTTATTCTGGTAGCCTTTTGTGCAATCTTTCCAAGTACATGCTAATAATTTTGAAATTAAAACCATGTCTTCAAGTAACAAAAGCCTTAGAAAAAAAAACATGAATGGGGTATTTTTGATAAAGAGAAAAATAGAAAGCGGAGGTAAGGATTATTATATCATCTATCATTAATATAATAAACTCCCAGGGTGAAAAATTCATTGAGTGTTTCTGGATACAAAACAAGGGTTAAATGTCAGTTTTAATGTATAACTCGGAAAAACTAACCAAAAGAAGTTGCTAGCAGTGCATAGAAATGTAGTCCTTGACATGCGGTTCTTTAATTTCTATGAGGAATGCCTTCTATTTACTTTGGATAGCTTACTTCTTGCCAATTCAATGTAAAACCATAGGATTTTAAGATAATGAAAGGCTCTTGTAGGAAAGAAAAGGGAAACATTGGGTTGGAAATCCCCTAAACTTGAAAAACTTAAAAGAAAAATTGTCCCTCTTATGATTGAGATATGGTTGTTATTAGTTATGATGAGCCTAGGGGAGACATATGACGAATAAAGATGGACTCATGGGTTGTGTAGAGGCAGAAAAAGAAGAAAAAATAAATAAGAATTGAGGTATGGTTGTTATTAGTTATGAAGAGCCTGTGGGAGACATATGAAGAATAAAGATGGACTCATGGGTAACGTAGAGGCAGAAAAAGAAGGGAAAAAGAAATAATTAAAAAACCTTTGAGATAAACTACAATGTTCTTTTCCCATGTGTACTTTCTAGTTATAATATGGAGATACCATAAGTTCTTTGGTTCAAAGAAGTTAAAAATTGGTCACCCCAGATAATGAGGCATACAATGTAACGTAAAAGATTGACACTTGGGCGGTTGGGCCTTAAGGTGCTTTTGAACTGGCTTGCCTTGTGAACCTCTCACTTGAGGTTTAAACCTTCTAAAACATTGTCTACTAGCAATACAGGTACAAGTGCACATAGAGAGTTTCACTAGGTTGGAAGAAGTAAAGATAATTCCATGCCTTACCTTGTGATGCATCCCCCCGCCCAAACAAACACACACACACACACACACAAACCAACCAAAAGAGAACTAAAGAAATGTACTGTTTTTCAAAGTCAAGAGAAAAAGGTAGAAAGATTCCCATAGATTGGAGGGAGATAAGCATGCAATAGGATAGAACTTTGACAAATAATTGCTCAAACTTTATTTATTTTAGAGTCTGCATGCATGAGATCCCCTAGCTATCCAGTTCTTTCATGGAAGTACTTCTCTTTCCAATATGGGAATTCCATGGATTTCTACACACATTTATCACCTAGCTTCTTGTTTTTTTACTGAACTTTTCAATGCAACAATTACAGGTGAATGCAAACATATCAGAACTGAAGACATCGACTTTTCCAAATCTTGCTTATGTTTGCAATCCTTTCTCAGCACCACCAGACTACAATTACCAACCAGAAAATTGTCCTCCTGATACAATCCAAATAGGAGACATTCCCCAGGTAAGCATAAGTGGTACCAAGAAATCTAGACACCAAAAAGAAGTCTATGTGCACTTAATGGGCATTTGGGTCATATAGATGGAAGTTGATACCCACTATCTTGTGAATCCCAAAAGGGACACCTCCTGGACTGAATAGGTTCAATGCAAAAATCTTAAACATCTTACTGATAAAAAAAAAAAAATCTTAAACATCTTATGTATTATTTTATTTTAGATGTAACAGTAAAAAGTGTTTGTGGAAAATCCAGAAAAGTTCAAGAATCAGGTGGTTAGGATCATCTAACCATGCCACCTATTCCATCTAGGAGATCACTTTGGAGGTTCAAGGTAGCCCCCAGCCATTCACACACCAGTTGAGTAGCTTGGGTATTCAGAACCTCTAGGTAAAAAGACACATCAATGTGCACATAGGCACTAAGCTACCAAAATCCACTGATATGTTATTTTTCCTTTTATCTTATACCTTGTCTTTTTGAAGGTTTTGAAGGTATTCACATGTTCTGATGGAAATGCTGAAACCTGTAAAGGAGCAGTCATTTCGGGTACTGATTTTAAAACAGTGGAGGCCTATGCAAGTTCAATTCAAAATCTTCTAAATGCTTTTCCTGGTATGGAAAGTCTAGTCGACTGCAGGGTAGTAAAAGATGCCTTCAGTGAGATCCTTTCCAAACACTGCCAACCAATGAAGAAATATGTTAGGATGGTATGGGTAGCAATGGTTGTTCTCTCAACAATCATGGTGGTGCTGGTTCTGATATGGACAACAAAATCTCATTTTGACAAGCAACATCACTTTTCTGATGGTTCTGTAAAACCCTATTCAACAGCAGCCAATTCGGTGGAAATTGATGCAAATAACATTGATAGTAATCAGCCAGAAACAAAATCAGTGCCATGATTAACATCTGGGCACTCAAGTACAGTGAGTTAAGGAGATACTGATGAAATATCAAGAGATAAACTTGTAATTTATAGAAAAAAAAAGTAGTAAGAAAGGAATGACTGACTGAAGCTAACAAAGTCAAGAATACAGAAGTTAATGATACCTTAGCCGGAGTTGAAGACTTGATCCGAAGGAGAGAGTCTACCAGTCAAGTTATTTTGTAATAAGAAATGACAAATATATATATATATATACATTTCTTGGTGAAATGCAAAGATTATTTTCTTTCTTTCTATCAAGGAAAAAATGGTATGAAAACTCTTGGATTTCACACACTTATCAAACATAATATTGTATCTGGGACATACATAATCTTTGTCAAGTAATTAGCAACATTAATTAAAGAACAGGAATTAGTACAGTTACCATTTGGAAAGTCTTCAGTTAACTTCAAAAACTATGCCACATACATGCACTTAAACCAAGGATTAAAACCTACAAATTTATTGAACCCATCTTAAAAGTCATGGCAAGGCATTATTTGCTCAGAATTGGGTACCTGCAAGTCTGCAACAAAGTATTATATGAGGCAAATTTACAGGACATCCCTTGAAGTGGCCTAAAGTACTGAGCTCAGAGTCCATACACATTTATGTCATACATGCTCATCTCTTCTTTCTTATTGGTCTGGGAAAGGATAATCATTAAACAACAACAGAAAGACAAAACCAACAACTCAATTTAAAACAGCCTAATATACTAGAACCCAGGTGACTCAAGCCTGCACAGCCAGGCTCAGGATTTACTACCTTAAGAAAACTTCTCGCAGTCCTTGTGAATTACAACATGCAACTAATTTGGGTAACCATCAAAACCTACACTAACTTCTATGTGGGCAGAAACATTTCCAAGACTTGTTTGTGTAGCAAAAGGAGTCAGATTCTAAGGATAAGCAGATTTTAGTGTCTTACAAAATCAAAATAGAAAACTTCTGCAGGAAAAGAGGAAGAAGAAGATACAAATACTTGACCAAAACATCACAATCACTTACAAAAATAACCTTCTAGAGGGTGAGGAAAACACAAAGGATTTCACACCAAAGACTTTCAATGTCTTCAACAAAAAATGACACTCAATTGTTTTTTCTCATATCCCATATTGGGGAAAGGAAAAAACTATGCTGCCAGAAAAGATTGGGAATAAGAATGAGGTCCATTGTCAATTTCTTATAACAAAATACAAACCAAATGATTCTATGGAATGTACAGATACATTTCTAAGGTGTCTCTAAGCATACAAACATTGTCCAAAAGATACATTGCCATACCAATAAGAATATGGAGCAGAGAAGAGATCAAATCCAAGCATGTGAAAACAAGCTTCAGTACTGAATTAGCTTCAATCTTGCAATGAACATACAACAAAGTTATTATAACAGTGTCAAGCTACAATAGCAAAAGGGTAGAAACATAGATAGACCAGAGTCACTAAGAATGCATTTTGATCGTTGATTGCACAACAGTAATAAAGACCATTGCTCAATGTTAGTCGTAACTATCTGTGTCTTTGGAGGAATAGACTGGATATAGACCTAATAATATTATATCCAGTCAGGACTCAGGAGTGAATTCCCTACTGGCCCAATAATGTTATAAACTATCCCAACTCTGCCAATCAAAATTGGATCTTTAGTGGGTTAAAACTAACTGAAAAAAGAAAAAAAACAGTACATAACATTTTAAAAAATAATTTAGTTAAAGAAGGAATTCTCTTCTCCCCNCCCTTCCTTCCTACTAGAGATGACAATTTGACCCATTCCCTTTGGGGCTCCGATCTTCCCTGCCCTGGTCAGGATGGGTATTTTGACCACTGAACACTGACCAGTTTTGAGATGGATTTCAGGAAAATCCAAAACTCTGGTGATTAGGGACGGGGTAGGGATGGTATTTGTCCACCTTGATCCCAAACCCGCCCCAACTAAAAGAGTGTGTGTGTGTGTATAACATAATACAATATAGTTCTAGGTGGTTTTAAAAATAACATTTATGTGAGAACGGTCGGGGTTGGGGTGGGGGGGAAAATTCAGGGATCCCTATTTCTGGCAGGGATGGAGATGGGGTTGGGATTTCTAGCTCAGTTGGGATATGGGGCATGGGCAGTTGAGTTTAGGATCTAGAATGGGACATGCAATCTGGCGCCACCCAGTCCCATTGCCATTCCTACTTCCTGCTCTCCCCTCAAAAGGAAGGATAAGGAAAAAGCAAAGAAGAAGAAAAGCAAAACCATGGCTACCACTATGGAACAATGCTTGGGAGAGGAGAGAAATAACTTAACCAAATTCAAAGGCCTGAGGCTTCATTCATTTTTCCTAGAAGAAACTACCATTTGCCATGTGTTTGATTTGAAGGGCAATGTAGGGAAATCAATACAAGCCTTGTACAGGTTTTCCTATCTTTCCATTCCTTTCCCTATCTTTTCTTCAAACCAAATGCAGCCTAAGAGACAAGAGTTATTTGCAATAAGGGCATTTTCGTCCAACCCAAAAGGCCAAAGTGCAACCAATTGTCATCTATATCTATATATTAAAAGGGAATGTACCAACTTGACACTTTCCTGCTTGCTAGTTGTTTTTGGAAGGCACTTATCTTTTTTTTTTTTTTAATTTTTCTAATTTTAAAATTGAACAAAAAACTCAATTGGCCAATCAAATCTTCTCATTAACTTACAATTAACTCTCTCCAATAATTCATGCCAGTAATTCTTTCTACTCTCCATTACTCCATTAAATTGCACAAAATTCAATAATTTTTCTATCTATATATCAATTTAGCTATAATTTTATATACATATTATATTAAATTAAAATATTAATAAAAATTAATTATAATGAAATGGAGATATTCCATGACATATTATTAGGCTAAATAATCTACTTTCATTTCAAATATAATTAATTTTTAAGTTAATTAATCAAGTAATTTGCATTTTACAATAAATATTATTTACCTCACTTAATAGATAAAACCAGTGTTTTAAAAAACTGACTTGGAGGCTGAATAGTTTTTGCCTCTAGGTTATAGGCCAATGGTTCAAATGTCCAGGTTGGACAAGGCAAACCATGATACATCACCCATTATGTATAATATGATATAATATAATTACATTTTGTGTGTGTATATATATTTTAGGTCTAATTTGTATTTTTTATTTTGTATAAATAAAAAAACCAAAAATAAAAATATGAGGCCACAAAATAAGTTTTGTATAGTGGGGTTGCAAATATTGCAAAAAATTACCCAAAATATAAAAAAAGATCACTCCAATCAAACAATTGAGCACAAAGTTAAGTTGTGTAAAAGTTTTCAATATATTGTATATTGTAACCCATGACCTAATGAATAGGTCAAAAGGATCAATAGTTCAACCACCTAGGTTTAATGGGTTTTGACCAAATCAATGGTTTTTGACAAAATAATAGGTTTTAGGAAGCACGAAATTAGAAATAGGATAGAGTGATGATTCAAGTGGTTAAACCATTTAAGTCAACAAGGAGTTGAAAAACATTGAATAAAAAAACATCATAAAAATCACAACCCATTTATATTTCATTTGAAAATAATAAAAATTAATTAACCATAGTAAAAATATTTTTTAAATTACTTAAATAAATAAAATTATTTATTTATTATTGTTAATAATAAAAATATTTTTATTAATATAATAAAAAGTAATAAGATAAATTAAAATCTAATATCCATTTAAAATTCATTAAAATTAATATAAAAAATACAAAATTATCAAACAATGATGATTTTTATAATTAAGCTTAATAATGATTAATAAAAAATTATACATCGTAAATATAGTTTAATTGATCTAACAGTTCTATGAACCCCATTTGTTTTGACCTTAAAAAACTCCCATGTTCTTTTGAAAAAAGGTGCAAATACCTTCCTTCCATTAACATTTGGAATAGAAAATGTTGATGTAATGCATTAGTTTTAAATACCAAATTTACCCTCAACCAACTTCATTTATATGTAAATTTACTAAAACACCTTGAAAAAAAAAAGATTTTCTTACTTTTACTTCACTTTAGCCTTTTTACCTTTGTCAAAGAAGAGTAGAGAGATTCATTCTTTGAAAGTTGTCAAGCAAAATAAATTAAGTGGAGGGTAAAGTTGAAACTTTAGATCGTGTACGGTAACACCTTAACAATGATAAGGGTTTTTTGTTGCTGAAAATCTAACGGAAAGGAAGTATTTGCATTTTATTTCAAAACTATAGGGGTCAAAACACAAGGATGGTTTATAGAATTATTACGACAAGAGGTTTTTTTATAGTTTTACCTAAAAATAGTACAAAAATAATTGTAGAACAATAAAATTTAAAAGTTAATGAAAGAATTAGGGCAAATTTCTTAAACTACCCTTATGGTTTATCTAATTGATTAAATATATCCCTTTAATTATTGTCTAATGCTACCCCTACTGTTTTTGACATTTGACTAACTCTACCCTTACGGTTAACATTATTAATATTTTATCACACGTGACATAATTTTTTTAAAACCTAATTTTACCCTTATTCCCTTTCCCTCTTTCTTCTCCTCCTCCTTCACTATCTTCTTCAAGAGAGCCACCGGCACCTCCTGCCAATCTGCCAATGAAAACCCATAAGCTCCACTCTGTGGTGAAGAAAAAATCCATCTTGATGGCAAAAAGAAGAATCATCCCTCTTCTTATTGGTTCTCTCCGAGCCTCAATCTCACCAGAGACGGCTCCCCTATAGAGGCAGCTCCACTCTATAGGGTTCAAGCATGGATGTGGAAAGGTCGGCGGTGATAAAACAGAGGCGAGAGGGAGAACAACTAAATTGTTTCATCACCAGCAAAACAATGATTTGTGGGTCCTAGGCTAGAATAACAAGAGTCCTAGCTTCCGTTTAACAATCAGAGATGGAATCAACTCTTCGGCGTTCAAACCAGTGGCAGCACATGGCTCTTCGGCGACCGTCCGAGCAACGTTTAAATGTTGACTAATTACCTTTGATAGGGATTTATCTATCATAAGAAATTTGTCACTCTCACTCAAGTATAGTGATCAAATTAATTAGAGGTAATCCAAAAGCAAAATACTTGAATTGGACTTGGATGAACACATTTAATCGGAAACGTCATGGAACTCCTTCAAATTTTCTTAATGATGCACGGGTCCCGACTAGTTGTAGTGAAAACTGAAAACTGAAACGTCGTGAATTGCTAATTTAAGGCTTACAGCTTTTGGTGCCACTTTCAATGGCGATTCAGTTGTTCAATAACCAATCAATGCCACCAAACAACGTTTCACATTCTCTCTCGTTCATCTCTAACCGCCTTTCTCTCTCATCCTACGATGGAGACCCAAGAAAAAAGAGGAAAATCAAAAAGGAAAAACGAGAAAGAAGAAAACAGAGAAACTTTTAGATCATCCCTCTGTTCTTCGTCGTCTCTGGTTCGCGCTGGTCGGGGCTCGGGATGGAGGAAAGATGGCTTAGAATGACGGAAAAGTAAGAGCGGAGAAAGCCCAGAAGACGTTTCGGCGTACAGGAAAACGTTCTTCACTGTTTTGTAATGTTTGACTGCTTTTCCCGTTTTCCTGTACGCCAAACCTCTTTCGTTCTTTCGCTTTCTTTCTTCCTCCATTATCGCCATATCTGAGATTCTTCGAAAAGGGTTTTCTTGGAAGCCATGAACACCACAACCTATGCTTTTTCCTTCCTTATTCTCTTGTCCTTCTTAGCCAATGTCTTCTCTCAGACTGAAAACTCGGTTTCTTTTGTCCTGAGCTGTGGCTCCGTAAATTCTAGTACTGATTCAGATGGCCGGGTATGGGATTTAGATTCCAAATACCTCAAATCAGAGGACAACTCAGTGCCTTCCAAGGCTCAATTCCAGGACCCATCTCTCCCTTCTACCATTCCGTACATGAACGCCAGAATTTTCACCGCCGAGGCCTCTTACACGTTCTCGGTTTCTCCAAAGCAGAGGCACTGGGTCAGGCTCCATTTCTATCCATCTTCCTACAGTAGCCTCAACGCCACCGATGCCTTCTTCTCGGTTGTTGCAGGTGGGGTTACACTTCTGAACAATTTCAGCGCTTACATTACAGCAGAAGCTCTCACACAGGCCTACATTGTAAGGGAGTTCTCTCTGTCCCCCTTCCCCACCGGCAAACTCGACCTCACCTTCAAACCCTCCGACAAACATTCTGGTTCCTTCGCTTTCATCAATGGCATTGAGGTGATTCCGATGCCGGAATTGTTCCATCCGGCCCCGGTGGTCGGTTCCGTCCATCAATTAATCGACGCCAAGCTCTCTAACATACAGACAATGTATAGGCTGAATGTGGGTGGGAATTATATCGCTCCTACAAACGATTCAGGCCTTACCAGAACATGGTATGATGACTCTCCTTACCTATTCGGTGCTAACGTAGGCGTCACCATGGATGCTGAAAAGAATCTTACAATTCGATACAAGGAAACGCCGGAGTATATAGCTCCGATTGACGTATACAGCACGTCGAGGTCGATGGGACCGGAGCCTGAGGTCAATGCCAATGCTAATCTCACTTGGGTCTTCCAGGTTGATCCCAACTTCATGTATGTCGTTAGATTTCACTTCTGTGATCTGCAAATGACCAAGGTTAATCAGAGAGTGTTCGACATTTACCTCAATAACCGGACGGCACAGGCTCAAGCCGACGTCGTCCTGTGGGCTGGTTCAGGGGGAGTGCCGGTGTACAAGGATTACGCCATCTACGTGACTGATGCACCCGGCGATGACCAGCTTTGGGTGGCGATGCACCCCACCGTCTCGGCGAGGCCGGAGTTCTATGATGCTTTGCTTAATGGGTTGGAGATATTCAAGCTCAATGACAGCAGAGGGAACTTGGCAGGCCCCAACCCAGTGCCATCGCCGATGCTCGTGAAGGCCCAAGCTGAGACGCCAAGGGCGTTTGCTCCATCTAAATCCAGCTTACATGCCCGAATGATTGGTGGGGCTGCAGCTGCCGTTGGGCTATTGGCTGCTGTCTGCATTGTTGCATACCGGAGGAAGAAGAGAGGCCTTGGAGAAGATGCCTGTAGATCTGGTTGGTTGCCACTGTATGGAGGAAGTTCCCGCACATCAGGGAGCAAGTCGACCATCTCCGGGAAGAGTACCGCCAGCAGCCACCTTTCTACGGAGGCTGTTAGTCTCTGCAGGCATTTCTCCTTGGCGGAGATAAAGAAAGGTACTAACAACTTTGACGAATCTGAGGTTATTGGGGTTGGTGGGTTTGGGAAGGTCTATAAGGGAGTTATAGATGGAAATACCATGGTAGCCATTAAAAGAGCAAACCCATCTTCGGACCAAGGAGTTCATGAATTCGAGACTGAAATTGAGATGCTTTCCAAGTTAAGACACAGGCATTTGGTCTCTCTGATCGGCTACTGCGAAGAGGAAAACGAGATGATCTTAGTTTATGACTACATGGCATTTGGAACTCTAAGAGAACATCTCTACAAGACCAATAAAGACCCTCTCTCATGGAAGAAGAGGTTGGAAATCTGTATAGGAGCTGCAAGAGGACTTCACTACCTACACACAGGTGCCAAGTACACAATCATTCACAGGGATGTGAAGACCACAAACATCCTTCTGAACGAGAAGTGGGTGGCCAAGGTTTCAGATTTTGGGCTCTCCAAAACAGGTCCCAATCTCAACCACAACCAGAGCCATGTCAGTACTGTGGTGAAAGGGAGCTTTGGGTACTTAGACCCTGAGTATTTCCGTCGCCAGCAGTTGACAGAGAAGTCTGATGTATACTCATTTGGGGTTGTTCTCTTTGAGGTCCTGTGTGCAAGGCCTGCACTGAATCCAAGCCTTCCCAAGGAGCAAGTCAGTCTTGCAGATTGGGCATTGCACTGCCAGGCAAGGGGAACCCTTGAAGACATCATCGACCCTGAACTCAAGGGAAAGATCACCCCAGAATGCCTAAAGAAGTTTGCAGAGACGGCTGAGAAGTGCTTGTCTGATCATGGAGTTGATCGCCCATCCATGGGCGATGTGTTGTGGAATCTTGAGTTTGCCCTTCAACTGCAAGAAAATCCCGACGGTGTGAAACCAGAGAAGGATGAAGAAAAGGAGTTGCAGTTGGGTAGCCATGAGACTAACATAAGTATTTATCAAGCTACCCTAGGCCTTGGAGATGAAAGCGATGTCAGTAAGCAGCAATCAGAAAGCATGGTCTTCTCTCAGCTTATCAATCCAAAGGGGCGATGATCAGAATTTTCTCCATCATTTTTTTTCTTCTTTTTAATTTGGTTTGTTCAGAGGATGCATGATTGCTTTTGATATTTGTTCTTTGTATTCTGACTCTCTTTCTATCTCTTCTTCTTCTTCTTCTCTTTCTTTAGCATTCAGTACCAGACAAGAGATTGATTGTAACTGATAGTAACTTGTATCAAGGTGTACTTTGCTATCTTAATGAATGCACTTCTTTAAATTTTTGCATATATAAATATATATCATTTAAGGTAGATAAAAAATTTCTTTTTTTATTTATAACTTTCAGAGTTTCAGGGGACATGAAAAAAAATAATTTTTGCATTTACTATAACTTGATATGTCTTGGGGTAGACCTTGAAGAAAAATGCGTAAGTGTTATAAAACTAATTTTTGTTTACTAAAAAGATAGAACTAATTTTTAAAACAAATTAAAGTGATCATCCTACTATTGAGCCATTTAGGGGAGGTTTTTATTAACAATATATGATATACAATAATTTTTTATAAACATGATATACGGCATTTGGATTTAGCTTTTATTATCTGCAACAAAATCTGCAACAATCTATTTCCTAAAACTGCTTGTCACCAATTGGATACCATATGTCGAGATTTCTAGTGGGGACATGAGGATTCGAGGGGGAAAAATCATTTATTATCTTGGAACCAATGGTGAAATTAAAAGATGAAGGGGGCTTGGGTTTCTACAATGTTGAAACAAGAAAATCTGCTATCATTTTGAAGTTTTTATGGCACTTTTTTTTTTTTTTTACTTAGAAAATGCTTTATGGCAAAGGGGTTTTTATAGTTCAGTCCACCCCTAGGGTGGAGCTAAGATTTCTAGGAGTGGACTGAATCCTGCCCGTGGATTGATGCTAAATTCATAGGCAAGATGCGGTTTATAGGGGGGGGGAGGTCTACTAGTAGACCAAGAGGGGGCTGCAATTTCAGATTTCTAAGGTGGATTGCAGTCCATTTATCCCTGTGGCAAAAGGCACTAATGTTTGATAATATAAAAGGGGATCTTTTGGTTACTAGGTAATGGTGAGTTAAAATATAATTCATGGTGTGGAAGAGGCATATTCTTAGGTCAACTTGTTGATTTACCAAACCATATTGGTAAGGTTGCTCATTTTATCGACCATGGTGCAATAACATACCGAACTGATTCGCCTCGATGTTCTTCCCTACTTTGATGTTAGAGACTATGGGGGGATGTTCGACATGGATGGTTTTGTTATTATGGGATAGATATGGTAGGCTAGGAATACACATATTTTTGAAGATATCCCCTATGAACCTGTTCGAGATATTACTAAATCACATGATTCTTCTTAATAGTGTGGTCTCTAATGACACTGCTTCTACTTCCAATGTTATTCCTCGTGGGGAATTAATCTGTCATTTGGAAAAAACCACCACATGGAGTACTTAAAGATTGATTAATGTGGATTCTGCTGTCACGTCTACTACTGCCTCTATTGGATTTGTAGTTTGTGATCATTGTGGACTCTTTCTATTTCCTCGACCCATCTGGGTTTCTCTGTCACCCATGACAGCTTGAAGCTATTGCTTTCTTGAAGCTGTGTGTTTCTCTCTAGTAATTTTGGAATTCAATGGTTAGACTTTTATTGGGGGATGATTTAATTCCACTGTGGTTGGAGGTTACAAGCGGTTAGGGTTGACTTCAATCTGCCCAACTTGCAATACTAAACAGGTCCCTTGAATTACAAAGCATGTTTGCAAGACAATTAATTTAAACCCATCCACTCAGCATAGTTGCTCAGGTGCTAAGCTGAGGCTGAGCCATAGAGGAAAGTATTGTGGCCAAACCATATCCTAATTTTTATATAAATATATCTAGGTAATTGATGTTTGCTTTAGGATTTTTTATGAAAAGGTGATTAATGTAAATTAAAAATGATGCAACTAAGAGATGCTTCTGCATTTTGTTTACAGAAATGAGGAGGAAAAGTAGAAGGGACCTCCTATGAAGAATACAAAATGTAGGCTACTAATTGGAACTATTTTGTTGAAAACTAGAATGGCAATGGGGAGGGGTGGGGCTGGGTTTTACCTGCCCCGGCCGTCCCTGACACGAACTCAAATGCCCCATTTCGTCCCTGCCCTGAACCTTGGCAGGGCTAGAAATCCTAACTCTATTTCTGTCCCTGTAGGGAATGGGGATCCATGAATTTGCCCTGCTCTGCCCTGATCATTCCTATTTGTGTACTTAGAAATTTATTTTTTCTGAAACTTAGAACTATTTTATATCATGCAATATAATATATAATGTTATAGTATTTTTTGAGAAAAGGTAAAGTATAATTGTATTAATCAACCGGTAACTTGTACAATGACAAGTTGGTACAAAAACTAAAATAGAAGGACCTCAAAAAAATGCCACCCTCAAAAAAATGCCACCCTCAAAAAAATACAATCAAACTTGTGTTTATAGACAACCAGCTCCTAACAAGCTATGTAGCCTTGTTAATGACCTCAGCTTCTGAGGAGGCTTTGTGATCAAAAGTTCTACTGTTCCTTTCAGTTCACATTGCCCACAGAATTGCCAAAGTAATAGAGGACCAGCATATTTTCCCCTTCTTTGTCATCCTTGATATGTGCCAAGCCTCCAACCATGCTTTAACTGAGGCAGACATGCTCCAGCGCACCTTTAGGATCTTTAGAAAATAGCTCCAAATCATTGTTACAACCTTGCAGTGTAAAAATAGATGGTTAATAGTTTCCGTCTCCACACTGCACTTTGTGAGGCACTTGTCCAAAACTGCCACCCAAACAAAAAATTTGACTTTAGACTTTAGAGGGTGCCACTGTCCCCTAAATGGCCCACTTCCACACTCTTTAATCCTGACTCTGTAAATCCAGCGTCTGATCTTGGAGCAGAGCAAGGAGATTTCCTACCTGTTGAATCTCCCAGTAGTTAAAGTCCATTCTGAAAGAATGGATCCAGCAAATGTTATCTCCCCCTGCACAATAGAATCAGCTACCGACACTTCTTTATCAACTACAAGATTAAACAGTGGGAAACAACTCTTTGAGAGAGCTCTCCCCTGTCCAAGGATCAAGCCAGAATCTGATCCTTCTGCCATCTCCAATTTTAAACCTTATACAACGTCTGAACTTGGTGGTGGTTCTACAGATTCCTTTCCACAAGCTACAACCATGAGTCAAAATTGGAGGACCACTGTCCCAACCATTATTATCCAACCCATATTTCTCAGCTATTACCTTCCTCCAAAGGTTGTCTGGTTCAATATCAAACCTCCAGTGCCAACTACCTAATAAGGCTAGGTTGAAAGACTTAGATATCTTATCCCCAAACCCCCTTATGAATGGAAAATCTCACCCACAGAAAATCTCTTATTTATTTTTTTTTCTAAAACCTCCACCACATCCGAAGATAATGGAAAAAGAAACATAAAATAGGTTGGCAAGCTGGCTAGAACACTTTTGATAAGAGTTACCTTCCCACCTTTGGAAAGATACCTTGCTTTCCAAGTGGCCAGTTTTTTAATCCATCCTCTCTAAGATTGGGTTCCAAATGGCTTTTATAACATATATTAATAATTTTATATATTAATATTATGTAATATAATATAGTCAGGGCAGGTTCCGGGCGGGGTGGACAAATACCATTCTCAATCCCCAGAGTTTCAGTTTTCCCCGAACCCCAATCAATGATTCAAAAACCCACCTTGACCAAGGCTGGGTGGGGTGGGACCCCACGGGGATGGGTCAAATTGCCATTTCTATATTTTATATCACATTAATAGTTTCTCCTAAACCCATTTGATGGCTTTTTCAATGGAAATTTGGTCTTTTATGATGCCCTCCTACACCATTTTACCTTGTACATTATGCCATTGAGGCAATTTATTAATTTTAAGCCTTATTGATATTTTGATTAATTTAAATAGTTTTGTCATTTAAAATTATCATTTCTTGATTTATTCTTTTAAGATTGTTTACGTGCCTAGTTCTATGCCCATGTCTGAGGAAAACCATGAGCCTGCTAGTTTTGAAATGAATAGTGCTTAGACTAGATATAACAAAAGATGCAAATTTAAATTTGCATGGTTTCAGTGGTTATTTGTTTGATGTTTGCTATAACTACAAGATGAGATTGCTTACCTGTAGAAGGAATAGAGTATCAAGATGGGATTGCTTGCTGGGTGTCGAAGTTGGAGAGGTGGAAGATATATATAGGGTTCTAGATACTGTAGTTGCATCTGATTTTCTGAAAGCAGTTGCTACATAAGCCCTGGTAGAAAGATCTGAACTCAAGCCAGTTAAGGAACCAGATGGTCCAGATTGTTGAACAGATGGTTTTGCCATGTGAAAATTGATCGGACTTTGGTAGGATACAATGCTGTAATTAGAGAACTGATGTCTCGTAGCCATTCAACAATATCTAGTACCTCATGAAAATGTAAATGTCAAGCAACGACCTGTTAGTGTTAGCTACATGCTTATTTTGTCTAGCCAAATTGGTTTTCTTATTCTACTACATAATTAATCCGGCAATTTCACCAATCCATTCTGTGACACCATTACATTATTTCTTATTACTTTTACCCATGTCCTTTTGGCCCACCCCTAATCAACAAATTTGCTAGGATGTAGATGTATTTCAACAGTTTTACTGCAAATATGCACCAGAATGGCTACACGGATTATGTTACTGTTGATAGGCTAACGTTGTAGGTCTTTCCGTCAGAAACCTGTAATCATTCAGGTGGCACTTGCTATGCTAACATTTCAAAGAAAGAGTTCTGTTGTCTTTCTGTTCCCATGGAGCAGCAAATAATTGTTTTACTGTTAAGAAAAAGTTAATTATAAATGCGCATTCCCACAGCATAAAAGTTAAAAGAGTTTCTTTCAAATTGTTCCAAAGATCTAATTCAGAATAAGAAGCTAACATGCCAAACTGCATAAAGCCTTCATCCATTTATTGGACATTCTATAGGAATGCCAACAAGAACAAGAAAGGATTGTCAGAGCTGTAACTGAGCAGAATTTTCTTCCACAAGAAGCATGATTTGGTAGCTCCATTGAAATAAATATAAATCAACCAGGTAAATACAAGGCACCAATGCACATTTCTAAGACTATACAACTGATAGATTTGCCTTGTTGAAACACAAGAATCACGGTGCAAGAGGCTCTTTACACACATTACCCATGCTTTATTTGCTGAGATGATCATGGATCATCCAAAAAATTGGGTCAAGTTTGATGTAGGTCAGCTCCTTCATGTGAAATTTTAGAATGATGAACTTCTGTCTCTGTACTGCAGGGAAGATCCTGAGGTATCATAATCAACCAATCTTGAACCTATCTTTTAAGAAAAAATAATGATATGCCAGAAACCACAAGAAGAAAAGCACCAAAGAGAGCCTAACAATGGCTAGGACCAGCTTGATAAGCATAGGTAGTGAAGTTTGTAAAGCTTGCATTAGCTCCCACGTTCTACCTTAATAGGTAGAAGATACTTCAACAGGGAGACACCTCAACCCTAGATAGAGTTGAAAATATAGGCCCACTAGAGAAGAGTATGCAGCATGCAGTTGATATCGTCATCAATATGTTGGAGAATAACCTTGTCAGCTAGCCAACAGACACCCATTTTCTGCCATGTGTATCACAGTATCAGAGAAACTTCACCCTATATCATACAAGAACCTCAAGTCTTGCTGGGACTTTTCTGTTTCCTTTAAAATAGCATTCACAACTGCTGTCTCTTCAATGCATTCAGCCCTCTGCAATGCTTCTAAAAGCACAAGACATGCCCTTGGACAGATTTTACAACCTTTAATCCGGGTCTCCTCTAAAACTGCATATGCATCCATTGCCCTATTGGCATTGCTCAATCCTTCTATTATAGTATTATAACTAACAGAGTCAGGTACACCTCCACTTGCTTTGAATCTCTTAAAAATCCGATCAGCCTCCTCTATGTTCCCAGCCTTTGCAAGTCCAGAAATCATGGTGTTATAGGTGATTGCATTAGGGTTTAACCCCTGCTTCTGCATCTCTTGCCAAAAGACAAATGCTTTGTTAACCTTTCGAACACAACAGAGACCATTTATGATAATGCTGTAAGTGATGGCATTTGGGGTGCATTTAAGGTCTTTCATGGACTGAAAGCAGACAAGGGCTTCATTAATTTCCTCTGCCTTCACTAAGGCATCAAGAAGGCAGTTCCATGTGTACACATTAGGTGTCAATCCCTTGTGGATCAACTCTTCCATGATAAGATATGCCTCATCTATTCTACCGACCTTTCCAAAACCATCAATAAGACTGTTATACATTACTACATTTATGCCAACTCCTGATTTTGCTTCTTCAAAGAGCATGTATGCTTCATCAAGCCTGTCAGTCTTGGAAAGCCCATGAATGACTGATCCATATGTAACCACTGTGGGTTGGTAACCCTTTGTCTTCATTTCCTCCAGCAGCCGGTAAGCTTTTTCTACATTACCTGACTTGTAAAGCCCGTCAATGACAGTATTGTAAGCAAGTGTGTCAAGAATACAACCCTGTTCTTTCATGGAGTGATACAACTCATAGGTTGTTGATGCATGGCCAGCTTTCACAAGGCCATGAATTAAAATAGAGTAGCTCCACACATTTGGAAGGAACCCCCTGGCTTTGATTTCCTCAAACAAAGCCTTGCCTTTGCCAGTATCACCTGTCTTCAAGACACAATCCATGTAGGTATTAAGAAGTGTCAGATCAGGAGGAATTCCTCTATCAATCATTTCTTTGTAGATTCTATGTCCATCTTCCTTCCTGCCAGACTTGAAGAAATTTCTAATGAGGGATGTATAAATAATAGCATTTGGGATCCCACCTACATCCAACATTCTCTCAAACAATCTGTAAGCATCATCAACCTTACCTTGCCTACCCAACCCATCTATCATAGAACAAAATGTTACCACATTTGGCATGCAACCCTTCTGATCCATGCTTTCAAAGATACTCCAAGCTTCATCCAACTTTTGAGCCTTACAAAGCCTGTCAACCATTATGTTCATGGTCAGCAAGTTAGGAAATATACCAGCTATTTCCATGGAGTCCCGAAGATCAAAAGCAGCCTCAAGTTTCCCCACCTCACAAAGCATGCCTATGAGAATATTATAGGTTGATAGATTGGGCACTGCATATTTTTTCATTTCTTCAAATATATTACAAGCCTCGTTAACTTTGCCCTTCTTTGCAAGACAAGTAAGGATGCAATTATATGCAATTACACTGGGAATGCAACCCTTCTCTTTCTGCTTCTCAAGTAGCTCATAGGCCTCACTGAACCTTCCAGCAGAACCATATCCCATGATCATGGTGTTACAAGCATATGCACATGGAACATTCCTGTTCAACTCCATCTGCTCAAATAGTTTCACAGCTTCATCCAGTCTATTAGCTTTGCAAAGAGCACCTATCATGCTAGAATAGGTAACATCATCAGGAATGATACCTTTGGCTTTCATTTCCTTGAAGAATTTCCAGGCCAAATCAACCTGGCCTACTTTGCCAAAACAGTCTATGCAGACATTGTACAGAACAACATCTGCTTTGAAGGAGTTGTTCTTCATTTCATCCAATAAGCAAAAAACTACATCCATCCGGTTTTCCTTTGCAAAAACTCGAATTAGAGTCGTATACAAATGCACATTCACTTTATACCCAATCTCCTGCATTTGACGAAAGAGAGTTAGTGCAAGATCAGGTTCCTGAACCCCAGCCATAGCACCAATAAGGGTTGTATAAGCTGAAAATGCAGGATGGAAATTGAGCTTCCACATAGTTTGTAACAAGTAGAATGCCTCCATTAGCATCCCAAATTTGACATAGCTGTCAACTAACTGAATGCAAGTGTTATTTGAGGGACTATAACCACAGAGGCTCATTTCCTCCAGAATCTGCTCCATGCTTTCAAATTTTTTACTGCTACTCATTATCCTCAGCAAGGAATCATATGCTTCTGGACTGTGAACTTGATTTGTTTCCTTTTCAACCCACCGGAAATAGTTTATTGCTAATTTGACATCTTTCAGCCTCTTTAAGACTCCAATGACCAAATCTGGTTGATGTTTCTCAGCCATCTTTAATAAATTACTTTCTAACACGGGTCCCCATGCGTCACTCATTAAAATGCAACAAATATCCTCCACTCCTGCTTTTGCACCATCCTCTTTTCTCAGGTATTCTTCATTAACCACATCTACAGAGGGAATGGCCTTTCCATCAAGGTCAGAAGATCCACTGCCCATGGATGAGAACTCCTTGTATATGTCATAAAGAGTATAACACCTACACCCAGAATGAAAAAACATTCCTGCAGTGCAAAATATATAACATTTACAAGCATAATCTTGAAACTTGTTAAGGTAACCCATATTCAGGACCATTAGAAAAAAAAATACTGCTTAAGGGAAAACAAATAGAGAAAATTTATTCATGGATGGTGTACTACTACAACAACAACAATAACAATGGGTCCTTCCCAGGAAATTTCCACAACATGGCCTCTCAAATAGTCTTTGCATTCAATTCACCTATCCACTAGAAGGATGGAGTCCGATGGACCCCTTCTCCTTTCTCCTCTGCACACACAAAAGAACAAGTAGGGAGATGAAAAGTCTGTAAGCCAGAATATCATTACTGGCCCACTTTCTTGTGTAGGGATTTGTCAGCCACAGAGTTAGGCAACAATGATTCTCATGCCATCTGAATTTTCACTTAAGAGAGAGTGAGGATGGGGCTTCCATAGAAATAGAATGTATGCTGGGCTTTCTCTCAAGCAACTTACAATTATAATAGGGTACTTAAATAGATAATAACTACCCCAATAATGAAACTAAACAACAGCAGGATGTAAGGTGTGTGCTCAACTGCTTCAGATTGCCAAATTATAAAAGTTGCATATTTATTGATTGTATCTGATGAACCAAATGCTTTTATGGGTTGTTAACTTGATAACAAAAGTTACTTATTTGTTATTTGGATAAAGATAATTCATTGGTAGTTTATGTTTGTTATCACTCTTTCTCTAGGTAAGGTACTGATGAAGAAAAAAAAGTAGATTTTAAAAGTCATGGTAGCGGAGGCCAGAGGAGCAAAAGAAAAAATCATGCAACAAGAGTGGCATCTTGATGCAGGATTTTTATAAACTAAATCAACAAACCAGAATCAATAACAAGAGTTTTTACTAACACCCCTGGTTTATACAGAAACAAAGATATACATACAATATTATTGATCAAAAATAGGGTATACACTAAGGGGGCATAATTAATTATTTGCCCCTTGCTAAGATGTTTATATCTATACCACCAACATAGTTGGTCACCTACGTGATGGAGCTACAAAACACCTAGGCAATACTTTAACTACAAATGTGCATACCTTTTTAATATAATTCATTGCTCAGACCAGGCATCCTTGCCTTGACAAATTTGGTATTTACTAATGTGGTTGAGTCAGGAGATGAGAAAGATTCAAAACAAGGTCCAGCAGAAAATCCAACACCATGATACAGAAAAACAGTCAAACCATAACACTAGAGATTAAGCATATTACCTTGGTTATTCAAGAGCTTCTTCAGCTTCATCTTTGCATGTCTGACCTGTCAATGTGGTACTATTTTTCTCTTGGCCTTACCTATAATTGACATTCAGGAAAAAAGAATATAAGTGATATCACAAAGAACATATTTGAATGTAGGATCTAGATATCCTTTTGAAAACAAATACATTATTTATACAAGAATATGCATGAAGGTTTTTATCTTGAATGACTTTGCAGCCCTAATTTCCTGCAAGGACAGATTGTTCACACATGGGACACCAAAATAGGTCAACGTACCTAGTTACCTCACTCTATTCATTTGGCAACTTGGAGCCCAATAACACTATGCCACTTCCTATCCTTGTTTATTTGAGAAAACTTAAAAGAAACAAACAAGAAGCCATTTTCAAGTCCCATCATTACTGTACATATAGAAATGCAATACATGGTAAATTATAGGCTTTATGGGTAAAGTTACAAGTGCATTGTATGTATAAGCAGCCAATTAAGGAACTCCCATCTGATGGACAGCCTAGGTTTTCCACCTAGTACTTTGATGGAGGACGAATAATGCCCATAACTTTCAGATCTGATAGTGGGCATTTTAAAATGAAGAAAGGTAATTTGGGTGATTGGTTATGAAGAAAAGATGGAGAAGCCATTAAACAGCTTTCTATGCACCAAAGAATGAGCAGGAAACAAGATCATAGTTCTGAAAGAACTTCAGAATTAGGAAGAATGAAAAGAAATCTTGCTGTTAAAACATACAACAGATGAATAGCTTGGAGGAAGAAATAAATGGAGTTGGAAAAGAGAGAGAGACCACCTAGCTATGACCAGAATCTGACATGTGTCCGACAAGGACACTTCACTGTGTATATTTATGTAAAATAAGCAAGTAAAGGAAAATGCTACATTGAAGTGTCTATCAAGACTCCGTGGAGTGTCGGAATCTGACATGTCTGACAAGGACACTTCATCCACTTAGGAGAGTCCATATAAAATTGGCCACAAATTAATAAAGAAACAGGGGTAAAGAGACGAGAGCGAGAGAGAGAGGAATCTTAATACAAAAAAGGATGCACATGTAAACACCAATAATGCTAGAACATATTGTGATATAGAAGACTGCATTTGCAATCTTTAGCTGTCATTCCAAGGCTTTGGTGATAATTAATGTGAGCAAGTATCACTTGGAAACTGATCATCCCATAGGATTATATGCCTATTTGTAAGCTGCAGGTGCCCTTTTTGTTGTAAGCTGCAGGTGGGATCTTCTCTTTCCTCCTGTTTTCCTCTTTAATGAAATCATTTCTATCTTTCAAAAAGAAAAGCACCACTTGGAAAAAAAAAAAACAATAGGGGCTTTGTTTAAAATTTTGCACGAAAGGTGGATTTGAGGTTCAGAAATAGAAATCTTGCTTGACGACAGAGCTTGAAACAGGGGCTAGGCAGGATTAAGGAACTAAGTTTCCATTCAAGGAATTAGTGAATTACCCATCATGTTGTTTAAAGAACCTATAGACCTATAAGAGGACTCAAATAAATCTCAGTTGCAATAACAATATAACTGATTAGATATTCACAAAGGCATTTTGGGAAGAAAGATTCTACAACGAACATATGGCCTTCTACCACCCTAGGAAAAAAGATGGATGAAACCATAAAAGGTAGAGGCCATTACTTGGTGTAGTGGTAAAACCCTCCGGCTGGCAAGTGTAAGAACGCAAGTTTGAGTCTGAGAGCAATCACTTTGTGCAAAACAAAAAAAAAAAAAAAAAAAACAAAGGTTAGGACCCATATCTGGTCTAGCCCTCCCAAGACCCCCGATAGCCCACTCTGATGATGGCCTTTCATGAAACTAGAAAAAGGTACAAATACAGCTAGGTAAGGAAGAGTTTTTAGTTAGAAAGAGGGAATAGTTGCATTTCAGGTGAAGAAAGTAAACATTGGAAGAGGATGAGATATTAAGGATGGGATTCAATAAAATGGTAATGTTCAAGGGAGAAAGAATATGATTGAAGGTAATCTGGACGGTTAAACTAAAGAAGAGGAACAGACAAATGATACCGTGGAGGTGGGAAATGGGGTACCCATGGTATCAAAGAAATTAAATCAGAATATCAGGAATTTTCAATTTCAGTTACAGGCCTAACAGTGACAATAAGTAGAAAGATCTACTGGAGCAGAAAGATTCTTCATAAACATGATAACTGTTTAACATCATCCAGTAATCAACATCCTTCAAAATCTCCAAGCGAATGAACAGGTCTCTTTTATTGGTAGTAACTAGTAAGGGAGGATTAAGTCGAAACTCCAAACTTTAATGTGGTTCAGTAAGCCATTTTATGTGCTTGCAGTTAAACTAAATCAATAAAATAAATACTATCTTGCTGAGATGGGTTCATAAAGTATGACCCATGCTATACATTCAAAACTGAAATATGCCAGTTTTTTTTATCAGGAATTTGTAATAAAGGACGGAGCAGAACTATGTCTGAGTGAAATTTGAATATGTTCAAACATCAATATTTTACATTCCTCCAGCATTTGACAAGAACAACATGAAATTCCCCTAACAATCCATTCTACTGAAACCACAGCAAAATTGTCACAGGAACACTACTAAAACGGTCCCACCCCGAGGCATTTCCACTAGAGATATAAAGCTCAAACCCTAACCTGTTGGTGTTGGATAAAAGGAGTATTCCATGGCAGCCTTCTTATTCGAAGCTCTCCTTCAAATCTGGAAACCCTAATTGAAACTTGAAAGCTTTCAATGCTAATCCTTGGAGAAGAGCGAACGCACAGATCTGGTGTCGCCATTCCCAACTCAGGAGCCGTTGTTGCTGCCATTACTTGAAACAAGAATTTGAGGTCTTTGCCGCCATTACCATTAGTGTACGAATTCATCTGTTTCCGCGAGGAGGAAGGAGAGTTATGGAAACGGGACAGTAGTGGTCCTAGTGGAAGGTTTCTTTTATGGGCCGAGGCTGGACTGAATTGAGATACAAGGACCGTGGTTAAAGGCCCAGACCTTTTGCAGGAGTGTCCTGGCCCAGCCCAGCCCACCTAATGCAGTTAGTCCGTGACTGAAGCTCTGATGGGTAATGGGTTTTTCACTTTTTTGCTATATTTAAACGAGTCCGGATTTAGGGTTCGCCCTCGCTGGTGCTGACAAGCTCCCTCTTGTGAATAGGCGTGGGTGGGTAGAGTTTTCGTAAGCAGGAGATCCATACGAAGTTGAAAGCTGGGTTTGTATTATTTTTCACAAAAAAAGGGGTTTTTACTGTTTAGTCCAATCCCACAAATAGAAAATTTGAATTCGAATTTGAGATTCGACTTAAATGAATCGAATTCAGACTATTCAGATTAAATAAATAGTCAAATTCGAATCTGATTTTTGGATCGATTATTTAATCATATCGAAATTGAATTTATGCCGATTCGATTTGATAAATATTCGAATTCGATAATATATTATAATATATATTATTCTAAATTTTTAGTTCGAGTTACAATCTTTTACACGATACCCAAAGTGTCCATTCTCTTTATTACAAAAGACAAATAAAAGTTATATGATCATCTTTTTAATTTACCGAGATAATTGGGGCCATCTTCGAATATTTCTTGTTCTCTCTCTCTCTTTGAAAGGATGAACTCTTTTCTTCTATTTTCTTTCTTGTTCTAGGTTTCTTGAGGTTTTTTGTATGGTTAACAAGTGAGTTTGTATTTTCTTAGGCTTTTCTATGTTGTTCATCGGCGATGTCTTTGTTTTGGATTTTAGATTTAGGGTTTTCTCTATAAAATCGGTTAAATCGAATTGAATCGAATATTCAATATTTTAATCAAAATCAAATTTGGTTGAGACTTTTGCATATCCGACAGATCTTGAATTGAATTCGAATAACTAATTTTGTAATCAGAATCGAATTCGAACATGGCTTGATTTGATTTGAATTTGCTCCATTTACAGGCCCACCCACAGATCTTAGCTCCACTGTATAGTTGGGGTAGGTGCCAGCTCAGAATTGATGCCAATACACAGGCGGGTATTGGTGTTTAGGTGGAGGTGTTTGAAATTTTGAATTGTTGTAGGTCTACAATGAAATTTAAAATTCTAAGGTGGAGTGCAATCAACTTATCCCTAAAAACGGAAGAAGCAAAGGTTATGTTTCGTTTGCTCTTCTATGTTGGTAAAGACTAGTGTATTTTATGGGTTCATGTTGATATCAATGTATACACTTACAATAGTTTTTTGTAATGGATTATAACCATTCAAATTCAAAGATAGAAAACGTAGGAGATAAGACATATCCAAGTTAGATCCTTGAGTGGTTAGTTACGTGGAGGACTCTATCACATTAACATCCCCCCTTAAGCGTAATGTGCATTCAACAAGAGTAAACTTGGATTGGAATGACGAAACCGAGCAGAAGATAGCGGTTTGGTAAGTAGACCATCAAGTTTTTGAGAGTAGGGATCGAACTAAACAGTGAGGACACCATCAACTACTTTGTCATGGATAAAGTGAAAATCAAGTTCTATGTGCTTGGTGCGAGAGTGATGGATTGGATTTAAAGTTAAGGCAGCAACACTAATGTTGTCACACCATAGAATAGAGGGTAGAGGGGGAGAGAATCCAAGTTCATCCAAGAGCATGTGCATCCAAACAAATTTAGTAGTGGTACTTGCAAGAGACCTGTATTCAAACTCCGTGCTTGACCAAGACATGGTTTGTTGTTTTCAAGAGCTCCAATAGATGAGATTAGATCCCAAGAATACACAAAATCCACTTTGAGACTTTCTGTAAATAGGGCAAGTAGCCCAATCCACATCAGAAAATGCGGTAAGAGTGAGAGAAGAGGAAGACTAAAGTAACAAACCATGATCAATTGTACCCTTTAGATAACGTAGTATGTGTTTGACTATATAGCCTGGTGCACCATAGTAGGAGATTTCATGAACTGACACACCTTGTTGGCAGCAAAACTAATGTCTGGGTGTGTTAAGTGACATATAGAAGACCTCCAACAGTGTTGTGATAGAAGTCGGGATCTGAAAATGATTCACCCGAGTGACTGTCAAGGCGAGTTGAAGCGGCCGTGGGAGTAGAACTGGGTTTGGCTTCATGCATTTGTGAGCGGATAAGAAGGTCATGGATGTATTTCTATTGAGAAAGATGAACACCAGTATCAGAATATTGTAAGTGGATGCCAAGAAAGTAGTGGGTCGACCCAAGATCTTTTAAAGCAAATTGAGTGCTTAACTGAGAAATGAAAGTAGAAATTGACTGAATTGAAGCCCGTGACTAAATGTTGTCAACATAAACCAACATGAGAGTGATGTCAGAATTTTCACGCATAAAGAATAAGGAATTATCAGCTTTGGAAGCTTGAAATCCCAAGACAAGAAAATGATCATGTAGGTGTGTGAACCAAGCAGAAGGGGCTTGCTTAAGCCCATGGAGAGAATGATGTAACCCCGACAAATATAATTTGGATAATGAGGATCCAGAAAACCTATGGGCTGATTCATGTAGACTTCCACAGTAAGTTGCCCATGCAAAAAGGAATTATTAGTGTCCAATTGTCGAACATTCCACTTGAAGTGAACAACAAGAGAAAGGACGATGCGTATGGTGGTTGGCTTTACTACCGGGCTGAAGGTTTCATCATAGTCCAACCCAGCCTCTTGTGTATAGCCCTTGGCCACCAAACACACTTTGAAGCGCTCAGTGGAGCCATCAGGTTTTCGTTTATGTAGAAGATCTATTGTTACCAACAACATTCTTATTAGGTGGAGGAGACACAAGAGACCATGTATTGTTTTGAATTAATGGTGCGTTTGGTTCACGAACAAGACCGGAATTGGAATCAGAATTGGAATCACCTATTTCTAGCATCTATTTGGTTCAGTCAAGAATCGGAATTAGATTCCTGTTGTTGTTGTTTGGTTCAATTAGAAGCCAGAATTGGAATCAACCAAAGTTTCCAATTCTGCCCCTTTTTGGTTCAGTTAGAAACTGGAATCGGAATCACCTATTCCTGGCATCTCTTTCTTTTAAAAACCTTTGAAAATGATATTGCTAATTATTTTTCTTCTTCCCCGACTATTTTTTTCCATGCCCCTCTCCGATTTTTTTACTAGTAACAATATTCTCTGCTTCTTTCCCCCCTGTAATGACCTTTGATTCATTCTCTCTTGTCTCTTGAAAACTCTTCTCACTCTTCTCAATTGACTATTAAACCTTTGAGATTATCAGGTTAACCTGAGCAATAGGACTTGCCTCTATATTGGTTTTTGCCTCAATCAATTTACTTCAATTTGCTATTAGTTGATCTAGTAGCACCTTTTCCGCTCCAAGATGATGTTAATATGCCAGTTAACCTTATATTGGTGATGACATCTTGCTGGTAAACTCTACATCTACTAGACTGGATTTCAAACTTTTACACCCATTAAAATACTTACTAGTAACTCCCACTTGCACATCAACAGATCAAATAAGAAATAAATACACAAATGAAAAAAAAATCATAAGAAATAAGTCATCTCCTAAACAATGTAAAATGCCTAGTTAGGAAAAAACATAAAATGCCCCAATTAGAAAAGGGCATTGGTCCCAAGTATCCGGGCTTTTGGGAGGTATGGACTGGATATAGACCTAATCTTCGGCATTTTCTAGCATGAAGTGGTCACTCTCTGACTCGAACCCAAATTCACACACTTATCAGCCTGAGATTTTACCATTGCACCAAGCAATGGCCCCTAAAATGTCTCAATCAAACACCAATTTATAAAACATAAGCATGAGAGAAATAACAAACAATTTCCATGACTATTATGAAATATGTATGCAAGAAATATCTTTAGACATACCCGATCTAAGAAATAATTGGCAACATTAAGAAGAAAATGCAATTCATCTCTTCTCTTGTATGCTTCTTGAAGAGCAGGATCCTTCCAAATTTCATCTACAATAGGGGCATACTCACGGGTTGCAGCAGGAAAGAAAGAATCCAAATCTCCCATAGCCATAACTTCCAGTAGCCAGTCAAAGAAATGCTTCAATCTTTGGTTAATTGAATAGATGCATTGCTTACTTTCATTGGCTCCACATTCCCCTGAATTCATTCAAATATCCATCACTACATTAATCTATGTCTTCCACCCTCTACATTTTAAATTGAAGTTCAAGAAGTCATTCATATCAACATCTTTAACTTCTTCATAAAGTTCTACACAAGGGAGGCAGGGTGTTGAAGTTCAAAAGAAAATCAAATGTATTTATAATATGAAATTGTAAAACAAAATCAACTTCAAACATTAGACAATCATGTACCATTTAAACCTATGATACCTAGATACCTATACAAGGATTATATTTCATGTTGGATACCTCAATTTTTAGTGTAAACACCTTGTCTAGTAATGTCTTTGTTGTGTCCAGGTAACATTGGTTTAAATCCCTATAGTTGGAAATATTGAGTTTAGTATGGTTTAAATCCCATGTAATCATGTGGACAGGGATAAAAATTGCTGTAGAACAATCTCTTAAGGTGTCTTAGGAGGTCCCTTGGCGATTACTGCCTTCGGCATTTCTGTTGTCTGTCTTTTGTAGTTGGGTTGGGTGTTATCTTAACACCTCTATGTGCTTGTAATCAATAGCGATTTTTAAATAGCTTTTAGAGAGCTTGTTATGCAGGATTTGCCCAAAAAAATTCCAAATGAGTTGTTAAGTTCAATTTTGATAGATGTACTAGAAACCTTAGACTTTTAGGAGTGACTACAGTTTAGACAGGTCAAGGGGGTGAGATAATTCTATTGTTATGCTTCAATTGGAGTTGGAAACTCTATTTGAGAATATCATGGCTCTGTTCCAGCAGCTCAGACTAACAAATCCTTAGCTGTGAGCAATAGAGATGGAGAAGATTTCCAGATTGTTGT